TAGGCATTTGGGACAATGAAACCACAGTTAGTGCTTTGGGAGTAGGGGAGAGGGTCGGTCAGCAGAAGAGGGGAAGAGGGGAAGCGGTGAGAGCGAGGAGGCTGTGTCAGGGTCCCGCTGGGCTGTGCTGGAGAGGAGGGGACAGGTCAGGACAGAGACTACAGCAGAAAGGTGCTGGCAGGCCCGCTGGAGGGAGGGAGGGAGGGAGAGAGAGAAGGTTTGGGATGACAATCGAAATGGTGTTTCTTTGTATTCATTAAGTCCCAACAGACTCTTTATTCGACAAGGTTTTCAAAGCCACACATCTTCGTCTCTCAGAAATGTGACTTTGGGCACAAGGTTTTCCGAATATGGAAGCCTCCTTGGCCCAAGACCCAGTTTTTGCCCATTCGTTTTATTCTTCTCTCGGAGTGGGGTTCTAGTCGCGTCCCTGATCAGAAGTGAGGCCCTCCCCTCGGTAAGGAGGCTGTTTCTGCTGAGAGCACACTGACTCCCCAGGACGACAGTCAACCCTCCCGGCCTGCTGTCATGGCTAAGTACAGAAAATTCCATCTTCCTCTTCGCAGGCCCCTTCGGAGGCGCCCTGAGAGCCTGTGAGCTTGTGCTTTCATGTTCTGTCGCGTCTCCTCTGACTGACACGAAGCGCGGGGCGGGGGGAGGAGAGGGTCACAGGCAGTGAGGGTGGTGTGGTGAACCGGGGAGTCCCCATGTCATATCTGATTCCCCGCCGACCTCCGCTGACTCACACCCCACCCCATTCCCGCCCAGGGTCTTCACGCTGTGGCCTGGCATTGAGCGAGGAAGGGCAAGGCCCCCAGGGCGAGCCCACGGCCCCTTCCTGGTCTCAGACTTGCTGAGACTCATTCCCTCCTGCCGCAGCGACCCCTCTCCACACAAACGACAGGCGCGCGCGAGGTGGGCGGCCTCGTGCTGCCTCCTCCTAAGTGACCTTTGGAAACTCATTCTCACCAAAGATGAGCTCTTGAAACAACCACTGCCTTTTTGGGAACGTGGTTCAGGCTGCTGGATAAAGGCTGAACATCGGACGTTTCCCATCTGTGTTCTCAGGCAGCTCAGTGCTCGATGCTGAGAGAGGCCAGGAGAGGACCAGTTCTGAATCTTCTGGGCAGCACCTGCTGGCTGCCTACCTTGAACTTGTCCGTGGGGCCAGCTGCCTCTTGCCAGGTTTTGCCAAACTGTTCGACACAGATGGCCTTGTAGGGTTGGCTAAGGAGATCTTTTCTGGACAACTTCTGGATATTTTGAGAGATATAGGACTATTTTGACAAGTATCTAAAACCTAATCTTTTAATCTTGCTCAGTGTTGATGATGAAAATAATTCGCATTCATTTTGGCCCCTCAGACAAATGTTTTCATGAGGGTAAATATCAGAAGATATTTACTTTACCCACATGCACAAACATGGTCTTTTTTTTCTATATCAAGAAAAGCAAAATCCTGAGATCTTCTCCAGATACAAAGAAAATGGAAAATATCACAGGTCCCGGAGGGTCTTCATGTGAGGACAAGCTATGGGACAAGGTGTCTTCAATCCGGAAAGTCCGAAGATCCCCGCATTATCCCCGAGGGTGAAATGCAAACTCCTGTCAGTCTGCACACCAGAATCGGAGTGCAGCCCGCGCGCGGACGGGAAGCCATCTTCCAGAGGAAACTTACGTCTTACCGCCGGAGAAACTGAGGCCGCAGAAGTGACGGGATTCGACGCCGGCCCTGCCGCCCAGAACGATTCTCGCTGTCCCGCACCTGCAGCGTTTCCTCCCCGTTCGGATCTGGAGCGAGGAGAAATGGCTGTGGGGATTTCGTGAGCCTTCCTGTCCTCGTGTCCACTTCGGCGCCAAGCTTGGAGGAAAGACGCTGTCACGCGCAAAGCTAGGCAGGGTGGTGACCTCACCGTGACTTCATCCTGAGAGCGCATGGCCCCCACCTGGGTTGGAGGGCTGCCATGAGCGACGTCACGAAAACAGGAACAGCGGAGCACCCATGGTCGGAGGGACATTCTGGGTGGTAGAACCAGGGAAGCAAGTATTTTCGAATGCTTGTCGGGCACACCGCCGGGTGCAGTCACATAGTTCTCTTTTTAAACGTCACAGTCATCTCTGGAACATGCCGATGACAGTCGCTTTATTTCCACAGGTGTGCAAGCTAATAACAAATTCCTGCAAGGAAGGGTTCCGACCAGATTTGCACATTGGGGTGATCCCTGTGTGTCAGTGGACCTTGGTCCCTCCTCCACCTCACACATCCTGGCTGACAGCTGCCGCTCGGCCTGGCACTGAGCGTCTGTGAGCCAGAACCTTATTTCCTTGGGGAGAGATTGTCTGAGAGGGAATGGGGCACGTGCGAGTGAGAAGGGTCCTTCGGGTTTTCTGAAAGTGCTCTCTTCGCCCTCGGCTGAAAAAAAAAAAATATATCGATATGCAATACTCCAGGTCTGGGAGCTCAGACGACTGTGGCCATCCCAGGATCTTTCTGGAAAAGCGGAATTTGAGCAGACTTGTTTAAATAAGTGATGATGTTCATGCTGAATCTACTGGCATGGATATAAATTCCAGTTAGTTGAGAAAGGGAAGAATTTCACAGCCAAGTTCATGAGGCTGGGATGCCTAGCTGTTGTTGAAATCCTTTTTGTCTTGCTTCTGGGACCTACAGATCACATTTCCCAGACTCCTTTGCCAAAAACAAGCAAACGAGCAAAAAAAACAAAAAAACAAAAAAACAAAAAAACAACGAAAAACAACAAAAAAACCCCCACAATAATAAAGCTCGGAAATGGTATATAATATTTCTAAATTCACAGACCTGGAGAAGTCACCACTGAACTGAATCTGACTCTGTGACCGCCCACTGCGCTCCACTCAATGGCAAAGAGAGAGAGAAAATGGTTGGCTGGAGCGTCAGGCACAGAAAGGGTGTGTGTGGCAGTAGAGCTCGATAAGGAGGTTGGAGCTGGGCCCTCTGGGGGTGCTTCTGGGCAGCGTGAGGTAATCAGGAGTGGAGGACGAGGGGCAGGTTGTGGCCGGGCAGGGAGCCGGGGGAAGGAACGTTTGTTTCGTTTCACGCCATCGCCTGGACTGGATGGCGTTGCTGCTGGTTCGAGGCTCGTGTGAGACGACGCTCGCTTCTACCACCGGGAAACTGTCAGGAGAAGGAACAGAAAGCCTCGGTCTGCAGTTCCGGTAGAGCCACCCAAGAGAGGAAGTGCTTTCCTCGCTGCCCCTTGGCATCCTGGTCCCAGAGAATGTCCTCTGCCACTCCCACCATTACTTCAGCAGCATCCTTTCGAACGCTGGGGAATTTCTTTGCATGGCAGGAAGCATTTGGAGATTTTGCAAAGTCAGTCAAATAATCTAATCACGAGGCCTTTAGATCAGAGAGCTTGACGTAAGTTTGGGAATGCGGAGGCTTTGTTTCTTTCCTCTTTTATTAAAATGGACTTAGAATTGCAGCTTCCAAAATCTGAATCATGGACCGTTTGTGCTGAAAGGGATCTCTGCGGTCTCCTGGCAACTTTTACAAATGAGAAAACAGATATTTAGAGAAGTTATAAAACCTGCCAGGATGCAGCCGGCTGAGCTCTCTCTACGCTTCCCCACGGGCCACTTCTGACTTGAACGAGGAGGCCATTTTGTTCTGAGAGCAGTGGGGCTTTTCTTTGCCCCGGGGATTATGGTGAGAGGGTAACACGGCTTTTGAGAGGCCTTCTTCCAGAACGTGGCATGAAGGGCACCAGTTCAGCCGTGACAAACGCTTTGCAGAGGGGAGAGGGCCGAAGACGCCTCTCTTCGTGTGCTCGCCACTGCCCTGGCAGGGCTCGGGAAGGCTGTCCCTTCCACCTCGGCCGGTCCCGGCTCGGCCAGGCTTGTGATCTCACGGATGGGGGACGTCCGGGCGTTCCTCGCCCGTGGGAAGAGCTGTTGTCCTTCTTGGTGGTGCTTCCCACCGGCCCCGCTCCTCCCGATTTCCCTTTGTCATAGGCAATAGAGGCGGACGGTACGGCATTTTGAAAATGTAAAAAACGAGCATGAAAGGTGAGGGGCCCTCCCACTCTGGACTTCAGGCTTTCAGATGCTTTCCCGGGCATCGTTTGCGACCCGTGTGTGTGTGTGTGTGCGCGTGCACACGTGTGTGCGTTCTTTCAGGAAGAGCCCATGCCACACGAGCATCGCCATTGGAATGTGCTGGACACGTGATTCTGCCTTCCGCTTTGTTCACGCCGGGTATTTTGGAATCTGCTCCCTACCGAACTTTGTTCTTTTAACCACCAAATTGCGACAGACTTTTTATCTACCAGGCTCGATCTCTTTACTGTTTGACTTCTTTCTCGCTCTTGAAGTACTCTCTTGGTTCAAGTGAGATTTTTCAAGCTGTTAGAGAGAAGGGGAAAACCCAACGTTAGAAAAAGTTACAGTCAGATCTACTGAACCTTGAAGGATTAGACCACTTTTTATTGCCCGTATGCCCTGAAAGTAAAACTCTCTGGCTCCCGCACGACAGTGAAAGAGCAAGCAGCCAAGAAGCATCTAGAACTCGCTCCCAGAGCATTCTGGGTGTCTGTGGCCGTGATGGATGGATGATGGGTCACAGCCTTCTCCACGGGGGCGGGGAGGGGGGAACTCTGTGATTAGGTTTCTCGACAAGATGACTGTTAAATGCTCTGTTTTCCAAAAGGGACAACTGGGGCCTCATCAGCCGAAACAGCACACCAGACGAGAGTTTGGCAGAAGCCAGCAAAGGTCTCAGCTGCTCGTGGGAGAGAGCAGAATACTCTCTTGGCTTCTCTTCAGAGATATTATAGAAGAGCATTATGGGGGGGCAGGAAGGAGGTCTGGCTCCAATCTTCATAGGAAAAAAACCAAGTTTTCTGTCAAGTCGCTCCTTCTACGGGTGACACTTTTGTTTCACATGATAGGACTTGTCAAGTCCATTGGTTGACTTTTTATATTTTTTTCCTAAAAATATATTCTTTTTTGTCTTCCAGGTGCCACCTCAGTATCCTCCAATTCAAAGTATCAGAGCACAATTTACCAGTAAGTATGGTCAAAAGTCCAATAGATTCATATTTTTAAAAGAATCTTCTCTGCAGTCTCTTTAATGTCCTCCAGAACACAATGTCCCTCTTAGCGAACTACTAAATCTTGGAATCACTGGAGCCTGCATATTGTTTTCATTAGGAACAAAGGAGGGTGTGTGAGGAAGGGGAGCAATTAATGACCAAATCCGAGCTTGTCACTGTATCCATTACTTTATATGCCGCACTCAGGATTCCTCTGAGTGCAAGTCGGTCTGACTGTATGACACATCATTTCCCACTAATTCTACTACGGGACAAGAATTTACCTTAATGAGAGTTGGCAGAGGCCCCAGGTATGAAAGAAGGTGATACTTTAACTGCCAGGAGAGTGTAATTTGGATCTTTGATTAACACGAGGACAACCGCCAGAAGTTTCTCTAAGGCTGTTTGTTTGTTTTATTAAGTCCCGGGGCTGAAGGGAAGTGCATCTTGCCCTCCAGAGTGGTCCTCATTCTCAGATCAAAGTACACCCCTCGGGTCTGGTACAGAGTCAGAAGTACTGAATTATGCCCAGCGGTGGGGCGTCCTCTCTCGCAACCGCAAGGGACGTGGGTCAGAGTGGAGAGTCGCTTGGCCCTTCAGGACGAGACTGGGGCTGACGGGAAAGAAAAGAAACCTAGGCTTTTTGGCTTACACTGGTGCTGGCTCCACACAAGGGTCCCAAAGCCATCTCTCTGTGGCCTTCTTCTCTTCCTCCTTTGTCTTCTTCCGTGGCGGCAGCTCTGCCCAAGACGTCTTCCAGGAGAAACTGGCAACAGAAAGGTAAACGGGAGCAGCAGGTCTGTGCTCCTCAGCTCTGACACCTGCTTCCCACTGGGCAGGACGCGAGCCCGCCGGCTTGCTGTGCATAGTGGCGTCACTAAGCGTAAGCGACTGCAGACATAGGTCAGTAAGTGCTGTCGTGTCAGTGTTCGGTGCCCGGGGCATGTGGACACTCTGCGTTTCATGGTCAGTGCAGAGAGGACAGGGCGGAGTTCGTGCGATTGCTCTGCGTGGAGAGAACCCACCGCCCTTTCGTCCGGCCTTTGTGCCAGTCCAGCCCCTGAGCAAGACGAGAAGCACTGAAGTTGCCAACTCTGCCTCGGTTTGAAAACGAATCAGGGAAACGCTCCATCTCTTGCCATGGGTCTGTTGTGACAACGTCCGATTGCTATAATCTGCCAGCTCTTCAATGCTGGCCCCAGCGGAAACTCTCCCGGCTCCGAGTGTTAGCTTCACCTCCTCTTCCATTCTCCAGGTGAAGCAGAGTCCGGCCCTCAGGTGGAAACACGGTGCCCATTTCCTCTCATTCTTCTCCAAATCTCTGCCCCCCACTTTCTCTTCACGTGTTTCAGATGCACTGGAAGGCGTTACCCAAAGCTGTGCTATGCAGTCATTTTTTTTTTCCAATTCTTCTCCTTTTCAGAGTGTGACAATGAGAAAGGCTTCATCATCACATCTCCAAACCAGGAGACGACCATGAAGCTGCAAGACAACTCAGTCCTCGTCCGCTGTGACGGGTTTTATCTCGTCTCCCTGAAGGGCTACTTCTCGCAGGAGCTCAGCCTCAGCCTTCATTACCGGAAGGGTCGAGAACCCCTCTTCTCCCTGAGCAAGGTCAAGTACGTCAGCTCCATCGCCGTGGTCTATCTGGGTTTCAAGGACAAAATCTACTTGAATGTGACCACTCACAGTACCTCCTGTGAAGACATTCAGGTGAATGGTGGGGAACTGATTCTCATTCATCAAAGTCCTGGTGGATTCTGCGCCTACTGAGGATCTGATGGCCACACCGAAGGCGGGCACCAAGCGTGAGTGTCACATCAGGGGTGGACAGGACACTGATGCTTCCTTGGAAGTGGGAGTCATCCCAGCTCAGCCCCCGTAGATGGCCACACAGGCTGTGACCGGAAGAAGATTCCCCCGCCCCGACTCAGGGATATTTAAAACTTATTGTACATGTCACTTAACTTTATTTATCCTCGTATCTTTTAAATCCCCAGCCCTCATCCCTCACAACTGCCTCAAGTATATAAGGTACTTCTGCAGAACGAGAATATGCAGGGCCTCTTCCTTAAGACACCCTGTTTCCATTGGTCAGGAATTCGTCATAAGAAACTTTCTTTATTGAAAAAGACACTGGACTACTGTCTGCTGGGAATTTGACATCTGGCATCGTCAAAATGGAAAGGACCCAGGAGAGGGCTTATCGATCTGCCAAAGGTGGCACGGACCTACTCCTGGCAGCCAAAGCTGCCTCGCCAAGATGCGACTGGTCGCAGTTTGCTTGTGTCCTAAATACCTCTCTCCTTTGGTGACGTTCAGAAGGAAAATCGACTCACGAACGGTGCCCTGGCTTTGAACGTGGGCGGCTGAAGACTACTTGGAGCGCTGGGCTGTTTCTTTACCGCTTTGCTTTCTCGGCCTCCAAGTGTTCTTAGTAGAAATTTCCTCGCAAAAAAACCACCTTGGGATGTGAGGCTTTGAAAAATCTACTCGATAATCCAAGGAAAACCGAGAGATTTTTCTAATTTGGGAAAGTGAGAGAATATCTTTAGCGCACGGGAGAGCAGTGGAACTGGACCTCTCAGGGTAAATGTCGCCAAGAATTTACACAGTCTGGGGAGGAAATGCGTTCTTTCCATTTGTGTGCACCCTCCTGCTTCTGCTGAAACACCCTCAGTCCTGCGCCTTGTACACATACCCCACATGGCTAGTTTCAGAAAGGAGGCAATTCTGGTATTAGATGCAACTTTATTTCAAGAGACACCGAGAACCTATTGTATCTTATGAAACGCAGTGATCTCGGTCTAGAAACACCATAATATCGTGT